GTAACGTAAGTAAGTAAGAGTAGTAGTAGTAGTAGTAGAGAGAGAGAGAGAGAGAGAGAGAGAGAGAGAGGGGAGGGTTCGATCGCACGCATTCGTGCTTTATTTCGAATCGAACGAGGCTCGATTAAATTGGACTTTTCGTTCAAACAAAACCCCCGCCGACGCTCTCGAAAGGAGATTCAGTTTACCGGTAACCTAGTGAACTCGCCAAGCTTATCCTTGAACAACAAAGGGATAATGGAAATCAATCCACATGTGTATTTGTATTGCGTTCCGATAGGTCGGTTACGGCCTCCTCTCGTTTATCCAAGCCCGATTGTAAAATTTATGATGGAACAAGTGGCTACTTCAACTTGATGACGCCGGGTACTCGTGCTCGGTTAATTAATTCCTCGTCGTGTTTTACATTCGAATATAATTACGATATATGTATATATATCGTTTCCTTTCTTGTTTTTTTTTTTTTCGTATCGAAAACTGATTCGAATCGTGGCGTGTAACAACTTCTGAAAAGACGAAGAAAATTGTGTATTATACTTCGTTTAAAATTTTTATTTTTTCGAAATCTCTCTAGATTGAAATTTATTACAAATATCGTCATTTTTCGTTCATTCATATCGAGTCTTATATCGACGACGAGTCCAATCTAAACACGTTCGACAGTTAGGGATTAATTCGGTATCCGTCCACTGAGAAATATATTCTCGAGAGAAAAGGATTCTCGATTCTTCGAATTGTGAAATTGAAATTTCGAATCCGATCTCGTAAAGTTGAGAGCGTTCACGCGATGCGCGTCGCGTAATCGATTCGAAGATTCACGCTGGCTAATTAAATAACGGGGTATTAAAGGCGATGAAACTTGTCCGGCCGATAAACGTATTAACGAGCTTCGGGTTTCGGTGATCATCGAGGCGTTCAATCCCGATTTAACCGTCTTCCATCTTTCGCCGTTTTGCTCGACGCGTCGCGTTGCATTAACCGAGACGTCCGATTGTAAAACTTTGTAAACCGTGGTTTAAATAGGGGCTGACGTCTCGATCGAATCAATCAAGGACATTAACGTTTCTTCTGTTTGCTCAACGCGATTCAAACTTTGCCCCGGCTGTTCGACGAGTAATCGACGACGAGTCGATTCTTGTCCCATTCGCGATTCTTGCGTCACTCCGACAAATAGCGCGAAATTTCACGGGTCAATTCGACGAAAGTTGGACGGAAATTCCAGCGTGAGTTATACGAGTTCCACGGATATACATTTCTTTTTCACTTCTTCTTCCCTTTTTCCCATTATTTTTGCGTTTCATCCCTTTGCATCGTTTGCGATAACAACAACTTTTATATTTCGAAAACTCGCTACGGAAACAAACACGAATCTTCTTCCACGAACTTCCACTTCTTTCCCTTCTCTCGAGAGCATTTTTTAATTCGCAGTCGAAGACACGAAGATGAGATTCAGCCTGACTCCGCAACCGGGTGAAAGTGGTTTCATACAATGGCTGGACGCGATGAAAATGGTCGCCAGGCTACCAGGAGGGATTCCGCCGGAATTTCGAAAGAAGGCGAGTATTCAGGCGAGATTCTAAATAATCTCGGATGTGTCTAAATTCCACGCGGGTCGTATTCGCGAACTGTATTCTCATTTTTCTCTATCCACTTTCCCTCCCCCCATTTTTTTTCTAAATATTTCACAGTTATGGCTGACGCTGGCGGAACGTCATCTGGAGCAACGCGGCGTGGATTGGAAGCAGGCTGAAAAGATCTGCTTCAACGAGTGGAGCAATCCTGACGATGAAGAGCTCGGTATACAAATCGTTAAAGTAAGAGAAACGTGAATCCTTTTTCTTTTTCTTTTTTCTTTCTTTTCTTTTTTTTTTTTTTAATTTTTTTTTTTAAACAGTTCCTCCCATAATAAAACCTGCGCGTTCTCGTTAATTCCACGCTCACCTCGTAATAACAATAACGACAACGAGGCGGATTCCTCGAACAAGTATTCGCTCGAAATTTGAAATTCAAATAATATATCCGCTTCTTCTCCGTGTTTCCTTTCTAGAACCTTCCTATTTCTTATCTATCGTTAACACGACAACCTCTGTTTCGTCGTTCAATCAACCAACCAACAGATCTTTAAAACCGTTGACGAATATCCGTTCGTTGTTATTCCTTTGCTGGAAACGATTCGATTCGCTATTGTCGCGATACGAAGAATTTCTCTCGACTCGCGAACAAACAAACAGCTTTCACTCTTCCGTTACGTATTCATTACGAATTTCCAAACGGAAATTCTCCCTCCCTTTCTAAAATGATTCTTCGTATCATTTCGGGAATCGAAATTCGGGAAACGAAACCAGTTCTCCCTTCCACCTTCGTCGCGTTCGAAAAACTCTCCCCCAAGTCCCCCCACTCCCTCCGCCGTATAATTACGCGCAATTAAATCTCGATCATCAATCACTTCGACGCCGAGCAATTAAGTGTCGCCGATGAGCCTTCCAATTAACTCGCTCGCTACGAGAAAAACTGACCTTTAACGAAGCTGGCCTGCAGCACCAGTCAAATCCAACCGAAGCTCCAATTTCGTTCCACCTCCTCCTCCACGTTTCGTCTTATCGTATTATCCATCTCGTTTCCATTCGCAAAATCCTGTATAAATATACATACATATATATATGTATAAAGTTGTTTCGATACGCACGATTTGGCCACCATTTTTCACAGGATCTGCACAGGACCGGGTGCAGTCTGTTTTGCGGCGCGGCCGGGAGAGACAATCAGGCGGTGCTTCGTCGGGTTTTGCTCGGTTTCGCCCGATGGAACAAGTCCGTGGGCTATTGCCAGGGACTGAACGTGTTGGCCGCCCTCGTTCTGCAAGTAATGGATCGGGCCGAGTCCGCGGCCGTGAAAGTGATGATCTACTTGATAGAGGGTGTCCTGCCCGAGGGTTATTTCGCGGACAATCTTCGCGGCCTCTCGGTCGACATGGCCGTGTTTCGAGATCTGCTGCGGGCCAGGCTGCCCAAGCTCTCCAAACACCTGGAGGCGCTTCAGAACGACGCGAAGGACAAGGCGACAGGTAACCAAACTGGTTGTGCAATCGTAACTCTCTTCTTCCCTCGCTCGGGCGAAGCCAGGCCGAGCGAAGCGCGATGAGGACGAACGTCGCTCGCCGCGCTGAATCGAAAAAGTTAGAAAGGAAACGTTTGTCGTTTTACAGGCAGCAGTTACGAACCACCTTTGACCAATGTGTTCACGATGCAATGGTTCCTCACACTCTTCTGCCATTGCCTGCCCCAAGAGGCGGTCCTACGCGTCTGGGATCTGATATTTCTCGAGGGGGACGAGATATTGCTGAGAACCGCGCTCGCCATATGGGAAGGACTCTCCGAGTAAGTGGAACAGGAAGCGGGAATTTATATATAAATATATCGTCTATATACTCCTCGAGTTTCGAAAATGTTAATGTTACAACTCCTTACGTCGTCTTTTTTCGATCATTAGTCGTATCATGACGGTGACATCGGCCGACGAGTTTTACAGCATAATGGGAGTGTTGACGAGAGAGATGCTCGAGTTCACGGATACCAATAATCTGATTAAGGTTTGTCCCCGACCGCTCGTTCATTTCGCGAATGCGAAATATTGCAACGATTTTTATTTTCGGCGTGACGACGTCAGAGTGTTATTTCGTCGTAGAACATCGTCAGTATGGGGGCTCTGCACGGTGTGACAGGATTGAGGGAGAAGCACAGATATAATATCACACCTTGGGCGAGGAAGCTGAGCGACGACGACGACAGCGATACCGAGGAGGACGAAAGGTTGGCCGTGGCCGCTGCCATGTTCAGCATGGCGCAACGGTTGAAGAAAGGTGAGAGGAATTAATTATTATTGAAACGCGTTAACATTGTAATTATTGTACCGTTACGGCATTGGCCGTGCTTGTTTCGCATGGTGAAGAGAAAGAAAAAGAAAGAGAAAAAAAAAAAAACAACGTTCGCAGATCGTATACCACAAACGCTCGGAGCGCTGCAGGCCATGGCACCCAGCAGCGATCGTGAACGACTCGCTTTGGATATTAGCACGTTGAAACAGCAGTACGCCAAGTTGCGGGAACGGCAACGGCAGGCCCATATCATACTTTCGGGTAATCGCCGATCCTAATCGTAAAATTAGATGTAGTTTCGTAAGGTTTAAGGCACGATAAATCATCTCGTTTTCCTCCATCGCTTTGAGATGCGTGCTTGCGACGTAAATGTTTCCGCGTGTATTTACACCGTTCCGTTTCCGTTCCGGAAAAATATGACCGATGCAAGTACGTTTGTTGCAAATTGAACGCACTACAAGAATGCATACTTTTTTTTTTCTTTCCTGGCGCAGCTGCATGTGCAAGGCAGACCATGGTACCACCTCCTACTTCTCAGGCCATGAATCATCTTTTAGTGGGCAAAAGTGCGCTCGTGAGTGGGAAGAATCGTCCCTTGACTTTATCTTCCGCCGCTGTGTCGACGAAGACGAGACCTACGACTTTAAATCAAAACCGAAGGGATAAACAGGGTGTCACGCTCCACTGGAAAGACACGAAAAAACCAAAGACGCAGAAACCTTGCAACGCAGTATCAGGTAAAGAAAAACGGACTTAAAATCAACTTATCGACGAGCTATCTCTCTTTGAATTTCTCTCTTGATATTAAATTTTCCAACTCGTTCCAACTTTAAATTTGCTTCTCTCCTATTTGTAATACTTTATTTATCGATCAATGATAACCAACCTCCGAACCATGGTAATGCAGGGAACTTCACTCGTGAAGTACTTTCTGTCGATACGCATTGCCTACCAATGATCGCGATACACGTACAAGATTCATGTACAAGTTTCTGTTTTATCCACACGGTAGCGAGAACAGTATTCGTTTCCTCTTATATAGTTTACATTTTTATAATCGCGAACAAAATGATCACAATTTGATCGAGAAAGATTGATCCTCGTTTCATCGATTACGCGTTCAAATATTCGCTCGTACACGACGTTTGTAATTTTTCGAATCACCTTCTCGTAATCTCGTGTTTCAATTATCAATTATATTTCTCTTCGATTCGTTCTAGAAGCACCGGTCGAAAGCAAAGTCGTCACGCCACAATCCACGGAAACCGATCTATCTCCGAAGCACAGCAACGTTGACAGCGACAGCGACAGCACGTCAACGGAATTGTGCGACGAGCCAGATCGTCTGAGCGACGTTGACAGCGAGGATCTGACGTCAGCATCCGAATCCTATGCCAACTATGGAACGGACGAGGAGAAGAGCAGCTCTCGAGTGGATGGTTCGCCAGTCAAGATTCCTCAGAGCAACACCCTCGATCCTCGCCCGTTCCTCGAGGAGAGTACCGAGCCAATTAATTTCGTCGACGAGAGTTCGAAAGAAGATTCGAAAATTTGCGAGGATAGCCTGGCCGACATGTCGATCGCCAAGATCACCGATCAAATAAGACGACTATCGGCAGAGGATGACAATAATTCCATGGTTCCTCAAAAGTTTAACAACGCGCAAAGAAGCAAAGAATCGTCACCGATCGACGATCAATCGATACAGTTGAACCCGGAGAAATCGACACCTGACCCATCTACGGACATCCACGTTTCCGACATCGACACAGCGAGAAAATCGTCGATTTTCAACGATTACGATTACTCGAATTTCGCCATCACTTCGAAACAGAACGACATAACGCATAACAAATCTAAACGGACAATGGACGAGACGATTGTCGATACGACATCTCGAAACGAAATCGCGATAATCGAGAAAGAATCGCGAGTCGAGGAAAAAATCGAACCGAAAACGACGACTCGACCGATTAAACAGGATTGTTCGAGCGTGTATTCCGATTATTCCGCCAAGTCAACGTTGGACAAGTTGAGTAATTCGTACGATAAAATTCCGGACAAATCAATCCTCGATCTTGGAACGATCGAGAACGAGATTAAATCGGATCGTTCTCATAAAACATCCCAACTCGATTTCTCGAGCAGAATGTCTTTGGAGTTGGAACCGTATAAAATCAGTTCGATCGACGACACATCGCCGGAGACATCGACGAACAAAACCGAGAAAACAACACCTCTCTACGGCAAGACTTACGTCGGTCATCTCCCCATATCCCCAATCACGGTCGATCGAAAGTTGAACAGAACAACACCACAGATCAAACACGAAATTCGCGGCATCGTTGGATCGATCCCCGACCAATCGTCCAACAACAGGTTGGAAACGGCTTACAGCGAGAGAAGCATGCAACACGCAGCCGCTCTCATTTCGGAAACGTCGCACGACGCGATGCAGCAATCCAGCCAGACAAGAATATACGCGGATCTGGCCAAGACAAGTCCCAAGACACCCGAGAGCAACAAATCCTTCAGCTCGGGCGAAACGATGGGACCCGACTCGAAACCGTCGAGTTTGACCGTGAGTCCGGTCAGATCGGATTCACGAGACTTCTCCATGGAGAAATCGGTGTGCTCGTCGGTGAGCTCGGACTCGAAAACGTTGGTGCTTCGCTCGATCGACTCGGACGGGACGAGGGGGGACAGCAAGACGGACGGGAAGAGGACGTACGAGGTGTCCAGCTCGACGACACCTGCCAGCATCGACTCGTCCAAGAACAAGTCCGTGGAGGCGAGCCCGAAACTGGTGGTGAGCAGTTCAAGCGAGTCGTGCAGCCCAGCGAGTAAATTGAAGTCTTCCGAGAGGTCGTTCAGTTCGGACCTGCAATCGCCAATAAGTGCCAACTCGATAAAGTACACCTCGAATTTCTCTCGACGGGGCCAAGACGACGTGTCGGCCTCGCCCATGGATCTCACCAGCTGCGCCACCTCGCCCTTCTACCCGATCTCAAACCCGAATCAACAAAAGACACCGACCTCGCCTTACAGCGCGTCCACCAGGCGAAGATCCAGCTTGGACAGCGGAGAAACCTCGCCCGAGCAGAGATCGACCAGTTGCTCGAGGGAGTCGAGCAAGTTCCTAGCCTCCTATCAGTCCAAGTTCGACTCGTCCGTCAACTTCAACAAATTGTCGTCAACAACAACGGCGGACAAAGACACGGATAATACGTCGCCGCGAAAGGGCGAGAGCTGCTACTCCGTCGGATCGGAGTACGCCACGAGGAGGGAAGACTCGGGCGTGAGCTCGACGGACAGAAGGAAGGACAGCGTGATTGGAGACGTCAAGTATTATCAAACGACGACGACGACGAGCACCATCGATTATTGTAGAAACGAGAGGGACACGTACGACGACGGAGGGGACGATCTATCTCTGTCGGAGAAGGACGTGGTGCCCTCTTTGCCCCAGGAGAAATTGGACAAGCGTTACTTGAACTATCGTTACAGGGACCGATCGAAATTGTTGGAAAGAAGTTCGAGCAGTTTGGACAGCAGGAGGTACGCCGACATGAGGTCGTCGGCATCCGCGGACGACGAGTTCACGGCTACGATCGCGAAGAAGAGGTCGAGCGACATTTTGGAAGATATCAAGCATCTGGAGGCGAAGGCGAACGATGGGATGTCGGAGAGCGGTATGATGACCAAGAAGAGCAGTTACATCTGGGAGGATATGAAGAGTCTGGAAGCGAGAAGGCAGGACACCTTCAGCAATTCGGCGAGGAACTTTTCCAAGCATCGTCTCGAGATACCGGATATCAACGTGACGGGCGAGGGAGGTAGAAAGTCGTACGTGGTGCATCCGAGGATCAACATAGACGAGAACAGCGACAGCATATTGAAAAGCGTGACCCGCGGCGGCAAGGGCGACGAAACGGACGACGGCAGGGAGTCCAAGTTGGGCGTGTGGACCAAGGTGAAGCCTCGGAAGAGGAGCGAGAACGGGCGAAGGAACAGCGACAGGGCGTTGAAGATCATCCAAGAGAACTCGGCCATACTTCAGAAGATCCTCGCTTGCCAGGCGAAGAACGTTTACCGGATCTCGAAGAGATATCCAAAGAGATCACCATCAGCCCCATAAACGAGGAAATCTCGAAGATCTTCAGCCCGATACTGGAGAAGATGGGGTTGAACGAGCACGAGATCAACGAGGAATTGGCGCGAATCAATTTCAAGGACTTGGACAGCATGACAGCTACGAGCGTGTCCGAGTTCGACGCCAAGATCAACGAGGAGTTGTCCAAACTTTCCCTGATCGACGAAACGGAACAGATGGATCATTTCGACGTGGACGAGGCGATATCCCACGAATACCTCGACACCAGGGAGGCTTTGATCGATCGCAAGATAAACGAGGAGCTGTCGAAATTGTTGGCCAACTACGACGACCGTTCACCGGCGAGTATCGCGACCCTGGACAAAGGGCCGTCCAGTCAAAACATCAGCGAGATCGAGGGACTGGATCTTTCCAGCATCTCCACCAACGTCTTCTCCTATAAATCGTCCAACGATTCGATCGACGCGAGGAGCGACCTGCCCTCCACCCAGGAACCGTCGATACCGGTCGACAAGTATTCCAAATACACGGACAACGTATTACCGTATACGGTATCGAAATACCAGGTGGACGACTCGTCGCCTAAGAGCGACATAGACATTTACAGAGAATTGGAAAAGCTCGATAAAATCTCCTCCGCGCAAGTGTTACCGGACCCGAGCCTGGAGGACCTTCTTCCTCCCCAAAAGGAATTGTCCTCGATACCGTACGCCCCGAACAAATCTCCTTTCACGGACGTCGCGTCGTTGAGGTACACCTCTAAACCGGTTCAATACGACGCCTCACCCCTCAACACAACCTCCTCCTACGACCCTTACAAGACGTTCGACTATAAGCCCAAATTGTCGCCCAACAAACAACAACACGTCTCCGCTAATCCATTCGTGACGACGAACACGTCGTACGAGAAGACCGTGGTCGAAACACCGTTCGAGTACATCAACCATAAGCCGGAGATGATGTCGATCAACGCGTACGATCTGCACCTCAACAGCCCGATCACGATGACCAAAGAGTCGTTGGAATTTCGCGTGAGATACGACGACGAGCCAAGCAGAGAAGTTGGCTCCGATTACGCGTCGTCCGAGCTTCGATCCGTCTCCACTCCAAACAAATCCCCTTACTTCAGCAACGGAAACACCGAACCGTTGACGCCCACCGCCAACTACGTCCCGAAAGAGGAGAGATGCCTGGACGGTGCCTCGTCGTTCCTGCGCGACTACGAATCTTCCGACATTCTTCGTCGCAAGTACGAGTCGTTGTCGCCCAAGGAATATTCTCACGTCAAGAGCACCGACTACGACCGACACTTGACCACGTTGCCCTCTCTGGACACGGGGGCCGACTCGGAATCGTATTTACCGACCAGACAGCACACCAGGGATTATCATCTGTCTCCCAATCGTCAATTTCCCGACAAACATTTCTCCTCCATCGTCAATCACTACGCCACCTCGAAATTGTCGCCTACGAGTTTGTCCGACGAGTCGAAACGGCCCGTCTCCCATCCCGAATTCCCCGGCAAGATGAACGTTGGAAAATATCCGCAACTGCCCGACCGAGGTTCCACCGGTTACAAGAAATCGTCTCTGAGCCTGGGAAACATAGGGCACTCGAGCAAAGATGAGAACAATTACAACACGGTGACCAGCCCGAAGACGCAGTTCAGCCCTTTCCCCGTCAGAAACGCAGCCAGAAAGCCCAAAGAGCTCACGCTCAAGTTGGGCCTCTACTCGCCCAAGAGCTCCGATCTGGGACAATTGAAGAGGTCGTAGTGCACGAGGATAACAATCGTATGCTCGTTCATCTATCTCGCGCACGATCGATCAATGATCGTTTCTTCCCCTTGTTCCCAATGTTCTCGAGGACCGTGGTCGACCGACCAAACTGCTCTCGAAACGGGCCTAAACGATCGTTTCTCGTTTTGCGGTGCCTCATGTTGCCAACGGCCGAAATTATACGTTATAACACGTTTACCAACCGTTTAATGCACGTACCATATCGATCGTATTGCAAATTGCGGGCGTTCGCCTTCGTCCGACATACACACACACACACACACACGCAAACACACACTCTCACGCGCGTTCGAAATTGACGAACATCGATGAAGAACGTTTTAAATTGCCTAAGCGCCTCTAAGGGACGATGCGTCATCAGAAAAACGAGGCAAGGTATTGTGATTGTGATTACACGCAAGAATATCGTTGAACACGACCTATCCACCATCTATCAATCGCGTATTCACTCCTCCCCCTTTAACGTTATATAATCGTATAAATCGTTTTTCCTCCCGGATGTTTATAGTTTACGAACGTTGATCAATTACGAGTTTTTTTTTTTACGAGTTCCGCTTGATACAGCTTGACACAACACTCACACACACATATACGGGAAATCTCTCCGACGTAGAAAACAAATAGCGATAAAGAGAGAAAGAATGAGAGAGAGAGAGAGAGAGAATGCGTGAGAGACAAGAATGGAAGAGAAAGCTTAAATGGAATAACATAGAAATCCTTGGCGAAAACGTTTACTCGTGCGATTTCTAATGCGATGCCTTCAATCTCCCTCCAATCACTCAGAGAGAAAAGAAAAGAAAAGAAAAAAAGAAAAAAAA